CGGGATGTTAGGAAGGAGGTTGTCAGCACAAACGAAGTCACCTCGCATTACAGCTGTTTCGTACTCGAGCACAGTGGATTGAAGGCCATAACTGATCAGATTGAGTTCGCGATCAGCCAAGTAGGCGCGGTTGGCACGCGCCAGGTAGCCAAGCAAGTACATGGGCCGATCCAAGTGAGCTATTGTCACCAGCTCTCCACCTACATAGTAGCGTAGCCTGTTTGCTTGGCTTGTGAATATAAATACGTCGCCGTACCAGCAGCCTGTGATCACAGATTCTGCTACTTCGCCATTTTTCGTAACCTATTAATGCAGATTATAATAAGAATTTTTGTGAGCTTTTATTTGATAGAAGCTATTATAGGTGACACGTAATAATAAGCAAATACAAACAGAGGCACTTGGAGTACTAACAAGATATAACTAACAATAGTTTATATTTATTGAATAGAAGCCGAATTTTGCCGAATAAAAATTATGTTTTATATACGTGACAGCAAACGTAACTAGATAAATATGCGATCCATCAAATACGATCAAACATACTCATGTCTAGAAAAATTAAGAAAACACGTATGCTCATGGGAAATAGAGCAGCATAGAAAATGGGATACAATTGGTAGCCTCAAGAGTGGTATCGAGGCATACCAGTTTCGACTAGTTTCCCATTAGAGCAATAACAGTTTTTTCACGATTAATTGAAGAAAATGCTTGAGTTTTGCAATAAATTTGACTTCTACATGTATCCAGAGGTGCAGGAGTTTTAGTCTCATCATGCTTGTGTGGCCTATAAGTGTTTGTCTCTTATCCTAAAGGTGGACGGCTAGAATATCACCAAGTGTCGACGAGGACATAAGCAAGGTTAAAGATGTAGACCAAACTAGAGGACGGCCTTATAAGATGCGCAAAAAAATAAAGCTCGTCGGTATGAAGAACAAGATGGTGAGGCCTTTTGTATGATCGCGGTCTCCTTTCGTTGTATAGACGTTGTATCACCTTGTTTTCGCAACTTGGTCATATTGGCAGGAAGACCTAGAGGAAGACACCTTGTCCGGAGTCCATAGTATGCATGAGAATTTCCAGATTCGGGCAGTGGACTTGGTACATTCCCAGACGTTTCACCGGCATCGTCAGTATCTCTCCTATCCTTAAGTGATAGATGAATACTCTAGGACAGAAGAAAACACCATACATTTTTGGTAGACAATTTGTCAAAGTATTGACTTCACTTGTCTCATTGGCTAGTCGTAGTGTGGTGCTAAGAATGGCAAGGCCTACTGACGAAGCCGGCGAAACGTCTGGGAATCTGCCAAGTTCCCAATCCGAATCTAGAAATTTTCATGCATATTCTGAACTGGGGACAAGCTGAGTTCTTCTAGGTCTTCCTTCCAATATAAGCAAGTTGCGAAAACAAGGTCAAGCAACTTCTAAAATAAAAGATTGTTGGCTAGAAGGACGAGATGGCATCAATATGTATGTAGCCGCTATTAAAATCCACAGCCTATATATATGCCTGAGTAATCCACTAAATTGTATTACTCTAAGCATTATAACTAATTCACATCTCTTGGGCATAAAATAAGCCGCAATGAAATCACTCCAGAAACTTTAAAAATAATATACGCCGATAGACGGATGAAAGAACAAGTCACCTCAAAGGCAGTCTCCAAACCTTCCGGATTCTTGAATAGACTTCCGTCTGCCTCAGCTTCGGCCACTATATCAGCATTGTAGCGCAAAATGTAGAATACCTCCTTGGTACAGATGGCCAAAAGGCGACCACCCTCATTCCAGTAGATGGCATTCGGCGAAGCCTCAATTCGCCGTATCAAATTTCCTGACTCCCAGTCGTGCAAGGCCAATCCGCCAGAGGAGCGCACACCTAATAGGTGACCTCCGAATATCTGCTCAGCACCAAAGTCTAGTTTGAAAGTACGCACTTTTTTAAAAGCCTTGAAGACCTGAATGTAGAGGAAGAATGCGAAAATGGTGTAACACTTTCGATAAAGGATATCATTATACAACTATAACCTACTAATAAGATTAAGTAGGTTTCGAAACTACCAGTAGTAATCAAGCTATATTTACTCTAGGTCGCATAAGGTGACTGGGGGCTGATAGATGAATTTTATCACAATGAAATGACTAGGCCTTACGAAGCAAGTGAATTTCACTTAAAATTGCTACCCAAAAGGTATTCCCGTCCAGGGTAGACAGCAGTTTCAACCTCGTCTGGGTCCCATCCGCACCCCAGTGGAAATTGAACCCCGGTAGTTCATATTATAATTTTACATATTATTACTACTCCACACTATTAGGAGTATCAGTGGGTCACAAGGCTAGCCAGACCTCTTCCATATCACATTATGTAGTTGGATTATGAATTAAGCAAATCTGTATTTGCTATCACAATAGATTAACTTACTTATACTCATATTAAGCAGGTTTCAAACAATCAATACATCTTGAATGAGAGCAATATTCACTCGAATTCGCATGTGAAAGATTCGGTTAAATTTTCCCCCAGTGATAGGATTGGGTCTAGCGATGGAATCAACATATAAAAAAATATTAACATTTGTTAAGCCATCCATATACATAAATAATAAACACTACTAAATTCATAAAACAAAAAACATGAAAAAAAATTAACCTAAAGTGGCCTAAGACAATAATTAAGGGGCGAAAGGGGCAAACAAGTGAATTACAATAAGTAGTCTGGGGCCTTTTATGACGTGCGACGTCAACCAGAAAGGTAGGATTAAAAATATTTTCCTGGCATAAAAGGGATATTATTTTAACTTAATGAACTCTCAATTACAATAGGCATAAACCAGCAAGGATCCTTGCCCCTTACCCGAATGATCGTATTGCTCTCGCGAATGGCATAGACACTAGCGTCGGTGGAGGACCAGACGAATTCCTGCGCTTGACCAAAGGTTTTGTTGCGTAGGGCAACCGCTGTGTAGACGATGTACTCGCCATCACCACAAACTACTACAAAGGAGCCGTTAGCATTGTGCGAGATAGTCTGAGGATAAAGTTCGCAGGTGCCCATTTGCTTGAAAGTGACAATCAAGCGTTCTCCGTCCTGAAAATGCAAAAGAATAGGTTTAACTTATAGAAGCCGAATTCAGTACATATAAATAGGTGATGTGTTCACTAAAGCTAAGGGATATCTGTGTAATAAGAATATAATATTTTGAAAAATGGAATCATGATTCAAGGACAATAAAGGATATATTGACAATCTCCTAATAGGCCTGTAGCAGTGGAATTATACTTGCATGCAAAAGTAGTAGGATTCAAGAAAAGCAGCCAAAATACGGGTAATATAGTTTGGCATTAAATAGTTTAGTTTCCTTAAGATAAATCTAGTGATAATTCAAAATACACCAGGATGACTTGTCAAGCGTAAGCAAACGAGATATTAGCCTACAGAGATTATTTTAAAATGCAAAACAGGCTTTCGGGCTTAACTTCATATACACTTGTCCAGAGACAACAGTCCATTTCCTGGGTGCAAATGAGGGTAATAGAAAGCATAATTATGAGAGGATGAAGGATGCCTACCTTGATCTCATCTGTTATATTGCCAACAGTAATATCCTGGCCACCAGAGATTGCATCACCTGAAGATAAGGAGCGCAAGTTTGCCTGTACAAGTTCTGCGTGCCTGGCGCATACGACTTTGCCGGAAGCATCCATAGACATGACGGGCTCTTCGCGGCCAAGTGAAATCACAATTGATCCTTCATCGTAGCCAATTCCGACTAACTAGGAAAATTAATGATGTAAATACATAGTAAGCACGTTGAAATGGAAAAATAAATCCAGAAACATGTTTTAAAGAGTGAAAATAAACGAACTTTAGATTATATTGAAGGTATGAAGACCAAGATGGTGTGGTCTTTTGTGTGGTCGCAGTCTCCTTTCGTTGTATAGAGGTT